TACCTTAATTTTTTTGGCCAAGTTGCACAGTTTGTGGTATCTTGGTTCCCCAATCAGAGATTGAAACCAGGCCCTCCACGGTGAAAGTGTGGAGTCCTCACCACCGGACCGCCAGGGAGTTCCTGGATGGTGAGTTTGAAACACTCATTCATTTGTGTACCAGCTTTTTGGGCTTTGCTGGTGGCCCAAATGGTAAAGAATCCGCCTGCAATGCTGCAGACCTGGGTTCAATCCCTGGGTCGGGAAGATCCCCTGGAGGAGGGCATGGCAACCCAGTCCAGTATCCTTGCTTGGAGAATCCCACGGACAGAGGGGCCTGGCGGGCTGCGGTCCACGGGGTCACAGAGTCGGACAGACTGAGCGACTACGCACGCACTCACGCACCAGCTCTTTATAATAAAGTGCCTCAAAACTTAAAAAAAGGTGTATCCACTGTAGAAAACAGCATGGCAGGCCCTCAAAAAAATGAGACACAGAACTATCAAAGGATCCAGCAGGCCCACATTTGCGAATATAGCCAAAAAAACTGAAAGCAGACTCTTGAACAGATACTTGAACACTCATATTCAGAGTTATTCTCAATAGTCAAAAGATTATTCACAACTCAAATCCATGTCTACTGACTGATGAATGAGTAAACAACATGGTAAATACATACAATGGAATAGTACTCAACCTTAAAAAGAAAAATAAACATTCTCACACAGGCTACAACAGGGATAAAACTTGAGGATGTTATGCTAAATAAAATAAGCCAGTCACAAAAAGACAGATTCTAAATGTTTTCACTTAGGTGAAACACCTGGAGGAGTAAGATTCGTAGAGACAGAAAGTAGAACGGTGGTCATTAGGGCTGGGAGGAGGAGAACGGGAATTAGTGTTTAGTGGGAAAAGTTTCAGTTTTGCAAGATAACTAAATTCTAGAGGTTGGTTACCCAACAATGTGGATATACTGTATCACAACACTGAACTGGACACTTTAAAAGGTTAATATAGGAAATCAGTCCTGACTATTCATTGGAAGGACTGATGCTGAAGCTGAAGCTCCAATTCTTTGGCCACCTAATGTGAAGAACTGACTCATTGGAAAAGACCGCGATGCTGGGCCAGACTGAAGGCAGGAGAAGGGGATGACAGAGGCTGGTTGGATGGCATCATGGACTCGGACAGCTCCAGGAGTTGATGATGGACAGGGAAGGACAGGTAAGCCTGGCATGCTGCAGTCCGTGGGGTCGCACAGAGTGGAACACGACTAAGTGACTGAACTGACTGACTGATAGTAAATTTTATGTTGCATGTATTAATATTTTATCACATTAAAAATGTATGAGATAAAACTACTCATCAGGCAGGGTCCTCGAGAGGGTGTTAATGAGGGGAGTTCTGGCTAAGATCTTAGGATGCTGTCCTGAACCCAGGAGGGCGGGCTTCATGGGCCAGCCACCTGGGCAGCCGCCCAGGACCTGCATGCTCAGATTGGCCCCTCATGTGGTTAATGCTGCTGTAGGTGTTTTGAAATTCCTAATAATTTTTGAACAAGAGTTGCCACATTTTCATTTTGCATCAAACCTCAAAATGATGTAACTGAGAGTTCTGGCCCTCAGTCAATGTGAAGCTGGTGGTTCTTAGCAAAAAAGACACCGGGACAGGCTTTGCCATCAACCTTGCTGGGATGAGCTGGGTGAAGGATGTGCCATGTTCAGGGTGGAGGAGGCTGTGGGGGCCACATGAAGACAGCACCCCTGCCTGGGGGGAGGGGCAGTGGGACCCCCTGCCAACGAAGCAGAGGGCGGCAAACAGCAGAGGCCAGGAAGGGGCTGAGCCGGATCACCCCACGACGGGGTCTTGACCCCATGATGTTGTCCAGTCACTAAGTCGTGTCTGACTCTTTGTGACTCTATGGACTGCAGCACGCCAGGTTCCTCTGACCTCAACTGTCTCCTGGAGTTTGCTCAAATTCATGTCCATTGAGTCTCTGATGCTCTCTAACCAGCTCATCCTCTGTCTCCCCCTTCTCCCCTGCCCTCAATCTCTCCCAGAATCAGGGTCTTTTCCAATGGGCTGGCTCTTCACATCAGGTAGCCAAAGTATTGGAGCTGATCCCACTCCTTGTTGGTATTTCAAGACTCCCTTGGCGGAATATGACCCCGAGGAACCAGCCTCAGAAACCAGCCGCTGCAGAGACGTCTCATCTGGGAAACAGTGTTTACTGAACACCCACTATGAGCCAGCAGTTAAGCACATCCTCTGTGACCCTTAACCTTACCTCCTGGGGCTAAGGGCTGAGGCGAGAACCAAGGAGATGCAGGCGTAGGCAGCGGGGTGCATAGTAGCTCTGGCTCCACTAGATGGCGCCAAATATAAATAGTGATGGACCCAAAGCGCTCCGGGGGCCTGGGCAAGGCGGTGCGCAGGTCTCAGGAAGCCTGCAAAACGAAGCTGAGCATCCCCTTGAAAGTGCACCATCTCTCCGGAAGGCGGCTCTTTGCTTTTAAGGAGGGCAGTAGTGTGAACGACCAGGCTTCCTAGGTTCGAATCCAGACTCTGCCACTTAAAAGTTCCACACATTTTCACAAATTAAAATTTTTTAATTTATTTTCCTTGCTTAATGTAAGTTTTATAATCTTGTTAGCTTTTCATCACTTTTGTAAAAATTCACAATTTTTAATTGATTAAAAATAGATTAACAATTGAGATCTATAAATGAGAAGAATGGATTTCTTTGGGGGCAGGAGGGGAGATAATTTCACTTATTTGGGGTACATAGTTAGTGTGTTCGCTATCATCAAATCAGTTGCAAGTGGTCACAAGGAAACAACATTCTTAGCTTTCTGAAGCAGGTAGTGGGCTGGATTTGACCAATGGTTTGCTGACTCTTGATCTTGTGTATTAACTGTGTTAATGTAATAGGGAAGAACCTTTCTGTATTCTATTACAAGTTAATCACTGAAGGGATGCTGCCTATAAACTTAAGTTATACATAATGGCCCATCTCTGGGAATCCTGCTCTCCTGGTAAAGAGTATTAAGCTAAAATACTTTTGTTTAGCTCATAGGAAACCTCCTAACCAGGTCCACCTGTGAAAGGTGGCAGGAGGAAGTGAACAAATCCCCTCGGGAGGCTGATGGGAACCAAGAAGTGTTTGACTTTACTCCCTTCCTCTTTTAGTATAGAAGGAGTCTGAATTCTAACTCAGGTAAGATGGTTCTTTAGGACATGAGCCTACCACCTTCTTAGTCAGTCGGCTTTTTCAATAAAGTCATTATTCCTTGCTTGCAAAACTTGTCTCTCGATTTATTGGGCTTATTTGTTGGGCTTTATTGGCCTGGCATGTGACAAGCAGTATGAGCTTAGACTCTGTTTCCTTGGCACTGTTTGTTTTTTCCAACTAAAGGTTTGTTTTCTGATGTCTAAACTTACATGTGCACCAATTATAAACAAGTGTCCTAAGCAGTAAACTACTGCAGAACGATGCACATGGCGGTTGCAGATCTGTGCCCTGTAACACATGATGTTGGTGATTAAAAAATTTAGGAGAGTGACAAACACTGATGCATTTTGTGTGTCATAAATAATGAATTACCCTTTCTGGAACAAATGCTAAAAGAAAGGTAAAAAAGAGAGAGAGACAGACTGCGACTGCCCAGACACCTAGGATGTAACAGAGCAGGTTTGCAAATCGTTTCTCCTCTTTTCATGGGGCCTTCAATACACTTTCATGGCTGACAGATGTCTGGGGTACATACTGTTTTACTGTGTATTAATTCAACAAATATTTGAGCAACTAGTGTGCGCTATACTGAAGCACCTTTTTAAATTTTTTTAAAACGAATCTTCCCAACAACCCTTCAATGTAGGTGCTGTTGTCTCCATTTATGAATAAGAAACTGAGGCTCAGACAAGTGACATGACCTACCATAAGCCACAAAGCTAGTGCATTCTGGAGCAAGGATTCAATCTAGACCTGGCTTCCGTTTTAAATTTTTCACTGGCCAGGCTGCCTTTTCCTAACAGATGAAGTTTTAAAACATTTCATGCAAAGTTGGGCACAATGAAGGACAGAAACGGTATGGACCTAACAGAAGCAGAAAATATTAAGAAGAGGTGGCAAGAATACGCAGAAGAACTATACAAAAAAGATCTTCATGACCCAGATAACCATGATGGTGTGATCACTCACCTAGAGCCAGACATCGTGGAATGTGAAGTCAAGTGGGCCTTAGGAAGCATCACTACGAACAAAGCTAGTGGAGGTGATGGAATTCCAGTTGAGCTATTTCAAATCCTNTCCAAAATCCAATCTGCCTGAGAGAACATAAATCTGGAGTAGAAACATTTACAGTTGGTTACATGTACTTACCAAGTACTTTTCCCATCCTATTTCTATTTTTCCTCAAAAATTTCTATTTCAAACACACACACAACCAGAATTCATCTTTTCAGATACCAAGTGGGTTATTTTGTGCAAAGGAAGTTTTTAATAAAAAATCTTCCCCATACCATAATTCAAAGAAAAATCTCCATTTTTATAGCCTTCATTTTCAATTAATGAAAGAGAAAACTACTATCCTTACTACTAAACAATAAATAAGCCCTAACTGAGAAAGTATCTTATTTTGGTTAAGTTTCAACAGTTAAGAGTTCAGGCTACTCTCCTAGATGATTAGCTACTGAAACCACTTTTTACAAATGTGAAACCAATTTTTTCCTTAGGGGAAGGAAAAACAGCAAGAAAGCAAATGGAAAAGAGGCACACGATGGTAGACAGGGTACATAAAGCTGTGCATTCAGTACGTGATTTTGGTTACTTTTTCACAACACGGTAGTTATTTGCGTGTATCTCTATGCCTACAATATAAGACAATGCTAACCCTATAGATCAAAACAAATTTGATAAAACATTCATTTTCAAGTTTCATAAATATATGCATTTCTAATTATAAAGTCTCTACATTTGCACATTTTCATAGACTAACATAATACACAAACTCATGGAAGTCTTCTGTTATGCTCTTAATTTTTCCTAGATCTGACATTATCTTCATAAATACTCAGTGAAGCCACAAACAAAAGTACTATAACTTTTGGGATCTATCCAAGTTTTAAAGAAAAAAAAGATCAGCAGCAATTCCATAAGACATAAGAGATATCAATTCCTTATTTTCTTTTGCTTTTTGTGTCAGTTGTTTGAAAAACACTAGAAGCTGACATGAGATTTTCTATATATTGTCCGAGAACTTGGTTTTCTGATTTTAGCTTCAGATTTTCTTCCTTAACTGCATCTACTCTTGCAGACAGATCTTCAAGTGTGTGTTGGAGTTCCAACACTTGATTAATAAGTCGTGTTTTTTCCTCCAGTTCCACCTGATTTTCAGCATCAACATCCATGTCAGCATTCATCATCTTCGGTAACAAACTTCTGTGCCTTGGATACAAAATTCTTGATGAATGGTCAAATGCCCAGGCGCTCTTCCCGGGTCCGCGATGCGCCGGCCGGCGTCCAGCCCTCCCCACCCTCCAGAGGCTCTCAGCAGTATCGAGGCCGCAATTCCAGCCGCCCGAGGCCGGGCCCTTCGCGGTCCACGACTACCCTCACCTGCCTTCTGAGGCGCCGGCAGGGGGAGGGTTCAGTAGGACGCCTCAGGCCTGGACACTTGGACCAACTGGCAGCGGCAGCCCCGCCCTCTCCCTCTGCTTTTTTTTAATATGCTGTCTAGGTTGGTCATAGCTTTTCTTCCAAGAAGCAAGCGTCTTTTAATTTCATGGCTGCAGTCACCATCTGCAGTGATTTTGGAACCCCCCCAAAATAAAGTCTGTCACTGTTTCCAATGTTTCCCCATCTGTTTGCCATGAAGTGATGGGACCGGATGCCATGATCTGAGTTTTCTGGATGTTGAGTTTTACATCAGCCCCCGGGCGTAGCGGGCTATGCAGGTCGGAGGCGCAGCTGCAGATTGGGGACAGTCTAACCCCGGAAGCAGTCGCGGCGCCGGCAACGCCGCGTCTCCGGTTGCCAGGGCGCCGCCCCGGAAGTAGAGCGCGGCGGGCGGAGGGCCGGTCCGCGCCGGGTACACGGGCCGAGTCCTCCAGAGATCGTCGAGTCGGACTGGAGGCGGGGCCGGGCCGCGGCGCGGGGCCGCCGTGCTCCGCGCTCCTGGGCGCTTCTCAGCGCTCTGCGCCCACAGGTGAGGCCTCGCCGCCGGTGTCGCCGCCTCCGGGACCGAGGGTGTGGCCGTGCTGGGTGGGCGAGTGCGCATGCGCGAGCGGTTGTGGGCGCTGATCTCCGCGGTTTAGATGCTGCTGGCCGGACTCGCTATCCCCGGGGGCAAGCCCGCGCTGACCACTGTGCTCCTTTTCCTCCTCCGAGTTCCTATGACTTGTGCCTTTCGATCCTTGTAATTCCATTCCTCTTATCGGTTTCCAGAGTTTTATGTGCCTGGGCTTTTTCATTCATTTGCAACCTGTGTTGTTTCTGTTGGCATCTTGCAGGAAGCATTGTACCTGTGGATAGCGCTCTGGACGGGAGACAGGAGATGAATTTCCCCTCTCTCCGCTCGCCTCTCTCTGGGGGTCTGAGCGTCGGCGTTTCCCCTCTTTCCTCTCCCTGTTTTCCCATCTGTAGATGGATTGGAGTAGACGTACCCCCTTACAGTAGCCGAGGCATAGGGGGATTCATTCTGGAACTAAAAGTATCTTATGGTTGTAAGCTGTTTGGGGTTTGCAGAGCGGTTCTTTGGTCAGGGAATATTCAGGGAATATTCAGAAGCGTACTGGGGGGCTGGTTTGTGGCGGTACAGAAAATATGGGCCCTGCCCTGCACTCAGGAGTTACGGGCGCCAGTAAACACGTGCTAGGAGCAGTGGGAAGGAGGAGACTGACAGGGCGACACCACTGCGACGGGATGCCCTGCGCCCTCATGAAGTCAGCGTTTGTATCATTTTATTTCTAGGTGGCTTTTTTTTTTCCTTTTCAAAAAAGACAAGCTAAAAAGGGATGCACATGTCCTGGAATCCTGGCTGAACTGGGACTTTATTGAAACTGATAGTGATAAGACTGACTGGGAGAGTGGAATGAGGGCAGGGCAGAGAGTAAGTCCATGGTCGATCGCTGGAAGAGTGAAATGACTCCCACAAATGTGGGTTCTGCCCGCAGCTTGTTGTTTCTCCTGAGAGGTTGTTCTGGCTTTTGTCTGGGAAGAGCCGCAACTCCAGGAGGCAGAGGCCGCTTGGCAGAGTTCTGTCCTCCTGGGCTTCCTGGGCACAGAGATTCCCCGAGATGTTCCACCGCTCAGCGGAAATCAGCAGAACTCCTTCCCGGCCTCCTACTTCTCGCCCGGATAAATCTGTAGATGACCATTTCCTGGGTGTCTCCCCTGCGAGGCTGGTGGCCCCTGTAGAGCTAGGCTGCTTACCTGCTTCATTGCTTGGCACTTCTTTGTGTGTGGCGGGAATTCGTGTCTTTTTTTTTTTTTTTTTTGGCTGTGTGGGGTCTTATTGCAGCATGTGGGATCTTCAGTCTTCATTGTGGCATTCGGGGCATCTTTAGTTGTGGCATATGCGATCTGGTTCTCTGACCAGAGATAGAACCTGGGCCCCCTGCATTGGGAGCACGGAGTCTTAGCCACTGGCCCACCAGGGAAGTCCCTCACATCTTTTTTTGTTAGGTCATCAAATCCTGACTGACAGCCTGCTGTTACCAGACGCTGTTCTGGGTGCTGGGGGTTCAGCAGAGATAAGATGGAGCAGCATTCCTGCTCCCAAGGTGACACATGTGTATTGAAGACAGGTGGTCACCAAGGGACCAAATACATGAACTAGACCAGGTCTTTTCAAACTTGGGCATGCATAAGAATGCCCTGAGAACTTAAAACACGGATTCCTGGGGCCCACTCCCAGAGATCTGAATGCGTTACCCTACTGCGTGTGCATAGGGTTGGGGTGGAGGATTTGTGTTTCTAACAAAGCACCAGGTCGTGATGCTGATGCTACTGGCTCACGGACAGTGCTTTGAGTCGGCACCGGATTAAACAGTTGTGTACACCGCTATCGCCACGGAGAAGTGACAATGCAGTAAATGGGAAGGACTGAGATGGGCTTGGGAAGGCTGCTGTGAGGAGTTGGCCTTTGGGAAAGGGCCGGATTTGGGGGACGAGAAAAAGGCTGGGGCCTGGAGAGGGCAGGCAGGCAGAAGGACGCTGGGGGACAAGACCTGAGAGGCATGGGGGGCTGCAGGTGGACGGCAGCCGGCCGCTGCTGCAGGCTCGTGAGCAGAGTGAGAAGGTTTGCTTGGTGTGTGTAAAAAGACCGGTCTGCTTCTGGGTGGAGGACGGCTGCAGTGGGGTGACAGTGTGACCAAGGCAGCTCATCATCGGGGCCTGCTGTGGGTGTCCTTGATTGTGGGGACGCTGGGGAGGTCTCTGAAGATGCAGTCTTTTGCGTAGCGTGGGCATGATTGCCGCTGGCCTGGACTGATGGTCACTTTCTCCCCAGGACTGCAGTTGAATTTTGTTGGGCTCTTAAAGCACTTTGAACACACTTTTTTTTTTTGGCCATACCTCGTGGCCTGTGGGATCTTAGTTTCCTGACCAAGGATCAGGCCATGCCTCCTGCACTGGCAGTGTGGAGTCTTAACCACTGGACTGCCGGACAAGTCCCTAAATGCATTTCTTGCCTCCCCTGGATCAGGACTGTCCAGGAGCACCTGGTCCCAGGCAGCTCTATGCTGTCACCCATCTGATGCAGAGTGGCTGTCAATGCCGAGTGAAACTAGACAGATGAGAAACTAGACTCTTGGTGGCCCGGACGCCCAGGGATGTCCCTGGGGAAACCAGTTCTCAAGCTTGAGCACATCCTGCCCACTTGCCCCAGGAGTGGGCCCCTTAAATAACCAGCAGCTCTGGGTTCGGTGGTGGATTCTGGATTCGGGGTACCTCAGGTGGTGACAGCCCGCTCTGACTTCGAGCTGTGATCAGCACGAGGGCCAGCCCCTCAGTCTCTGCTTTTCCTGGTGAGGGGTTTATGGTGCTCAGTTTTGAAAGTAGCTGACCTCATGGTTTACGAGTCTGAGGCATCAGTTCATATGACCCAGTAGAGAGGTGATATGTTAAGTTCATTACTCAATACCATTAATCCCGCTTGGGTTTGTTTTTTTTTTTTCCCGATTTTAGGAGGAAGTCACAGGAAAACAATCTGACATCAGGTATTTATTTACTTTTCTAAGGAAAAGGATATCTCAGGGTTGGAGAGGAGTCTGGCTTTTGTACGGTGGGGACTGAACTGATGGCTCCTTTGTTCTAAGACGATTCCTGAGCCTGGCCCTGATTCCTGAGCCCACTGTGCCTGGCCCTGGCTGGGTGCTGGGGGACCCACCTGATGCCCTGCAGGAGCCTGACAAGGGGCTGCATGTAAACTGAGGGTTGACATCCCATGTGGGAGGGAGGCCGTGTGCGTTCCCTCTTACTCTCCAAGCCCCACTCTCCCGGCTATAAGTGGGGACAGTCCCTGCCTCCGGGTGTCAGGTGAGCTGTAACGGTGTGCCCAGTAGACAAGGATCTGCGCAGACTGCCCAGCCCGGAGCCTGGCGCATCCTGGTGCTTCGTGAGTGGTGGCTGTTGTTTCAGTGATGACAGAGACATGTCATCACTTCCTGCCCGAGACGGGCTGGTCTCCGGAGCCCAGCGGCGGGAGCGTGCAGGGCCGAATCAGGGGCAGCTTCACGGGGAAGCTCTTTCCGCCTGATGCACTCGATTCAAGCCCAGTTGACTGTTTGGAGAACCCGCCGTGTGCCAGGGCCACGCCCGCCTGACCTTGCGGTAAACCCCGCAGTGCTGCCGAGGGGCTGTCACTTTCTTTTTCCATTTGTTTCACCGGGAAGGCTGAGGCCCCGAGGACTTGCCAGGATTTGTGGCTTGGATGATTCCATGCGAGAGTGAACCAGGTCTCTGAGCCTCGGGTGTGGAGGGCCTCTCCTCGCTCTTCTCGAGGTACCTTTTGCATCAGCTCTCAGTGGTGGATTCCACGTCAATGTGGTGTGTTTCTGAAAAGGGGTTCTTTTAAAGGAGAGGTGGCCTTCTTTCTTTCCTTTCTTAACCATAAATGACTGTCTCTGCTCAGCACCTTACACCATGCTGTTTCCAAAATTTGTGTATGTGCCGCTCCTCATGTGCGTGAGTGTCTTCTTTTCCCCCTAGTGTTTACAATGGTGGTGTCTCATGTTGGTTTCCTAGGGCTGCAGTGTCCAAGTGCCACAAACTAGGCGGCTCCATGAGGCAGGAGCCTGGAATCGGGGGGTTGGCGGAGGTGCACTCTCTTGAAAGATTCCAGGGGAGGGGGTCCTCGAGGCATCCAGTTTCTGGGAGCCCCAGGCATCGTGGAGGCATAACTCTATAATCTATGCCTCCATCTTCCCACAGCCGTGTTCCCTCTATATCTCTCTGTCCCCTTGTCTTCACGGGGTGTTCTCTGCCCCGTGTGTTTCTGTTTCCAGCTTTCCATCTCGTAAGAGTATCTGTCGTTGGATTAAGGCTGACCTGAATGACCTCATGTTTTTTTGAGAACACTTGTTTATTTGGCTGGAAATGAAGCCCTTGTCAGTCACATGATTTGCAGTTATTTTCTCCCAGCCCGTAGGTTGTCTTTTCATTTTGTTTATGATTTCCTCTGCTGTATGAAAGTTTATAACGTGATTAGGTCCCATTTGTTTATTCTTGCATTTATTTCGATTTCCCTGGGAGACTGACCTAAGGAAACATCGGTACCGTTTACGTCAAAATGTTTTGCCTGCGTTCTCTTCTAGGGGTTTTATGGTGTCGTGTCTTACATTTAAGTCTTTACGGCGTTTTGAGTTTATTTTTGTGGATGGTGTGAGAGTGTGTTCTAACTCTGTTGGTTTACACATAACTGGCCAACTTTCCCAGCACCACTTGCTGAAGAGACTGTCTTTTCACCGTCATACATTCTTGCCTCCTTTGTCAAAGATTAATTGACTGTAGGTCATGTGTGTTTATTTCTGGGCTCTCAGTTCTATTCCGTTGATCCACATGTCCGTTTTTGTGCCAGTCGTTTGTGTATTCATTTTATTTTAGGTAAGAACCCGAGGCAAGAGTCAGGGAGACTGAAGAGAAATCGGACGTTCCTGTTGGCTCCATAAATACCTATGGTGGGTCAGGTGTGAGATGCTTCCCTTGGTGACCGCCTGTCCATGCGGCCAGTGGAAGGGGCAGGGGGCCGGGAGGAAACCGCCCCTCCTTGGGAGGCTC